AGTCAATAAAGCAGAAATAGATGTTTTTCTGGAACTCTCTTGCTTTTTCGATGATCCAGTGGATATTGACAATTTGATCTCTGGTTCCTCTGCCTTTTCTAAAACCAACTTGAACATCTGGAAGTTCACGGTTCACATATTGCTGAAGCCATAGGCAAACATTACATGATTAAGAACTTTTAAAAATGTTCATTGTTTACTTGTTTGTTTTTAATGTGGTTCTTCTTTTTATTTAGATAGACTAGATTTAGGGATTTGGAACCTTTTATTAAAGGCAAAACAGTTTGAGGCTTACAAGCGTGTCTGCCCAGATGCCACTCTGAGAGAACGGACATTACCTCGTAGATCTAGTCAGCTGCTCCCGTCTTAGGAGCTGCCCTGAGTCACAAGCCACTGAGCAGTGGAGCTTGAATATGGGATACTTCGACCACATTGCTTTATACCAGTCCAGACTGCTGCTCACCAAAACCTTATACTTATATTCCTTTTCTAATGCTTATGCATATTGTATATAATTTTGAACATGCAGCAACTTAAAATTTTTGCATCCACTTTTTCTATGAGCTTCTTAAAAAGTAGGTGATGACATATATAGTGTTCTGTCAGGGGTCATCTATTGACTTCTTTGTCTTAAGAGTAATAAAGTTATTCCCTTCCCTCTCTCACACCCTTCCTTTCCTACTCCCTCCCTTCCTCCCTCCCTCCTTACCTCCTATCCTGACTTCCATTTTCGTTGCCCCTATAGGAAGTCATTTTCTCCTGTTTTCTTGTTTGTTTGTATAGCTTCTTACATGAAACATGTATCTTTTGCTTTGTGCTCATGAATTTTAATGAGTATACATGGTTTGGTGTCATCAGTCTCTTTCCATTTCTTATTTTTATGACTAAGCATGTCTTTGTTACACCCACGCATATAATGGATACATATAGCTAATAGTTTGCTTTTAAACACTGTAGTAATCCATGGCGAGCACTGCTCCATTTTACCTACCTATTCTCCAATTGGATGCCCCAGTGACCTCCAGTTCTCACACCACCAGAAAATGCTCCATTGTGTATGTATATGCATCACCTTGTAACTAAATGAGAGTTTCTTGAAGAGCAGAAGAATCTCTGGGTCATGGTGTACAGAGCTGAAATGTTCTCCAGAATAGCTGTGGCGGTCCACAGTCTCACCAGTAATGTGTGATGGTTTTTACTTTCTTAGATCCCTCGAACATTTAACATCGTCTGTTTTTCTAATTTTTGCCAGTGTCCATTTTGCCAGTGTCCGTTTCATAAGAGAAGTTGAATCTTTTGATTGAAACCGATGTCTTCTTGATTTCAATGGCTAAATAAATAGATCTATTGAGATACATGTAATTTTTCAGTGTATGGGTATTTTATTATGAATAAAATATTAATTTTATTTCAACATTATCCATAAGATATTATTCCAGTTGCCATGATGGTGAGAAAAGTAATTAAAACTTGAAGGTCATTATTAAAATATGGATAGGCCTCCCCTGCCCCAACACCCAGTTCAGTCGTACCCCTCTTTCCAATATCATGCTCTTTCTGGTGAAATGCTAGTTATCCATCAGAGCCTAGTTTAAAGTTGACAACCTGCTCTGTGCCATTGAAGTGTTTTAACCATACTCTAATTATGGTAATTATTACAGGTCATTAGAACCAGTTCTCCACTTTTCTTTGCACTTGTGTGGTCTAGGGCATCTTTGTACCCTTCCCACCCTATACCACCCTGTTGTGTGTGTGCTCAAGCGTGTCCGACTCTTTGCGACCCCATGGACTGTAGCCCGCTAGGCTCCTCTGTCCATAGGATTCTCCAGGCAAGAATACTGGAGTGGGTTGCCATTTTCTTCTCCAGTACCACCCTGTTAATCTAATTTAATTGTAATTCATTTTTTTGTGCATGTTACGCGATAGCTGTTGTACATTAAATATTTCCATTTTATCTGACCACAGCAATAGTTTCTGACTCTGAAAAATTTTTAGATTAAAACCATCTTCCCTGTGTTTTAAGATGGAAATGTTGGTATCTTAGCATAGCCTTGTTTGAAGGGCTGGATCAGTTTCAAAACTACTTCCTGGAAAAGCCCTGGCCTTGCCTGGAAATACTTGTAAGTTCTCCTCAGTGCTAAGGTGGGGTAACCTTCCAACCTTGCAAGAATGCTGGTCAGGATCCTTCACTGACTCAGTGAAACGGCCCCTCTCACCATCTGTTCCTCTGACTTTAAAGTCTGTCTGCGCTCTTTTAGCAGTGTACAGTATAGCTCGTTTCCTATTAAGAAATATTAACCTGAAACAGATAGCCTGCTTCTATCAAAAAGTCAAACCAAGGAAAGTTGTTAAAGAAGATAATTTGAGAAAAACATTATTTCAGTTCTGTCTGAGTGGATTTTATCCATTGGAAGTTTATGTACATGCTGTGCTTATTTCTTGTCAGTAAATTGAAGGAAACAAATTATATCCAAGTCTCTGAAGTTTCATGATGTGATATATACCAGTTTATTTCTGTGGGAAGAGCCCACTCTAGCTAGTGAACTTAGGGACTTTGGACTTTCCTTATTCCTCAGGAATTGTCTCCATGACTTGGAAATCCTCACATCTATCAGGTCACCAGGGCTTCTGCTTTTTTCTCACACGAGGCTCACTGGCTCCCAGTTGGACACTTTTATTCTTTTCCATAAGCCTCAAGACTAACTGTGCTTCCTCTTTTTCTCTCAAGCTTCCTCCTTCTCCATACATTTTTGTGGTTCCCTTGTCTGCAATAATGGTTCCAGAGCAGTGCATAGCTTCTGGAGCAGTACCTGACAACAAATCATCCAGCCTTGATCACTTTAAAGGTTTTATTGCTGATCCCACTGGGAGCCAGAATTAGGGTGATCACTCAGTTGCTTCATCCATGACGAGAATGTAAGGTGTGCTGGAGAGTGCATGGGAGGACTGTGGTCGGTGCCCTAGAACTCCCTGGCATAGGCCTTGAGACATGGTAGGTGCTGTCCTAGGAAATAGCGTGAAACCACAGGGGTCTGAACTCTCAGAGTATTCCCTAGTTCCTTCACTTTAGTCAAAAGCTCCTGTGAGCAGCCAGTGTGCTACTGCAGTTATTACATGTGAGAAGAAACCTTTTTCTCACTTTAGTGTAGATTTGCTTCCTATGATGATGTGGGAAGATGTCACACAAATTCTGTCTGGGAAACAAAGATAACCTGTTTTGTGAGGTTGTGGTAACTTTTGGTGTCATTTCCATAGTGCATGTCAAGTCTCTGCTGTGGGATACAGATAGAACCTTGAATGAGTATTGTACATGATTTAAAGTAATTTTTTCCCCACATTTATTTGTCTTCCATGAATACAGATAAGCAGACGAAATACCCTTTTATTATAAATGACTGCTTGCTGCCAATAAGCTTGTTAAAGTATTTTTGCTTCCTCATATACTTTTTTATTTGCATTCAGGTAAATATTCTGTACTTTAAATTCATGGTAGAAGCATATAGTATAAGCAAAATCAGTCTTATGAATCTTGGCTTTTTAAATTAGAGCAAATATATAACCATTGCTGGTATCTCCTTAAATAAAATTGCAGTCTCATACATTGTAGTGATAAAATCTTTTCCAACAATCTTCATGGGTTTTCAACAACTTTAATTTTGTAAAGGCTTGCATATAAACTCAATGTAATATTAAAAGTTTCAGTGCATTTCTTGCTTTTCATGAGCAAATATCTGACTTGTTCTTTTAAGAAAAAACAAACTCTTGAGTTAGTTTGGAATTCCAAGTTGCAATGAGAAGAGTCCACCTTTAGCCCTCTGCTCTTATTATGTTAAGACTACGACTCATCTCCAAACAAACGTATGATTGAGGTGATGTTTTGGAATAACATCCTGTGTTTTGGTGGTGCATCACTCTTCAGTGACATTCTGAGGTTGCATTGTATTAGCACATGATATTTTCCCCAGTTAATTGATATCCCAGGTTTGTCCAGGGGAAAATCTACAGCTCCCCCAAACATACTTGACAAGTTATTATATTTACTTTAGTCAAAGCCCGTGTGTGCAGTATCCCTCTTGGAGGTGGTCTCTTATTGGAGTCCCATATGCTTTTTGTTTGGGAAGAAAGCAGTCACTGTGTCATACTGTTACATGGAGTATTCTTTTTCAAGGATGTTGTTCCCTTGGGGACCATATCAGGCCAGAGTTCCTTAGTCGAATAAGACCTTTGTAACTCTTATTGTATAAGAGTTCTGGGAGGGAAGCAAGAGTTAAACAGAAAATGTAATTCAAGCAACCATATTAGGCCACATGTGGGAAAACATGACTCTTGGTATTGGATTAAAAAAAAGGTTATTTGTTGTAAAAAGGACCATGATGCCAAAATGTTCAAGGTATTCCAGTGTAAATGAAGACTAGTGAGGCCCAGGGAACTCATAACATTCTCACATTTACTTTAGTTTCTGAATATGAATGACAAAAAACCGTGCACAGAGTTGTCTATTCACAAATTTTAAACAATGATATGATTAGTTAGTATAGAAGTCCTATAAGGCAATATTTAATCTAAGATTTTCTCCTGTGTGTTTTCCCATCAGTAAAATGATATTTAATCCATATGAGAATAATGATTATAATGGCATTACATACATATTCATCACTCAGTAACACAAAATCTATTTATACTCATAAAGATTATTCAATTTAATTGTTGTGTATTTCCAGTTGATTACAAACACACTGATTATATTCCATAAAAGTAGAAACTTAAAAATTATTTTTTTCAAAATGAATTAGAAAGTCTTTTTCAGATATTACATTTATATCTGATGAAAAAAATTTTAATTATTGCATTTAATTTTTTTGGATACAGAAGTCATAAAATACTTACTTAAATGTTTTGACAGATTATAATAAAACCTATTTTCTGAAATGTGAACATTACAGTAAACTTTCTGATATTATAATATTGTGCAAATCCCCTTTCACTTTTTTTTTTAATAGAAAATGGTTTCACAGCAACGCATTCTAATTCACGAAGATTCCATGAACCTGCTCAGTCTTTATACCTCTCCCTCTTTGCCCAACATCACCCTGGGTCTTCCAGCAGTGTCAACCCAGCTCAATGTAAGTCATTGCCCTGCATTGGCCTAAACCAGCCCGAGGACTATTTTCCTAGGGGACCTCTCATTCTTTACTTGTATATTTAGACTTCAGGGAAACTTGGTAGTCTACTTCTCCTTCACTATTGGCCAAGTTGTTGAAAGATACTCAGTTTGACCTCACATTAAAGAATCATATTGATTCACATAATAATATATACAAATAATAACTAATATTTGTATAATACTTTGTAGTTTTTAAAAAAGAAAGCAGTCTCCAGGTATATTATTTTGCTAGCTCCACACAACCATCCCATGAAACAGATTACAGACCACATTTTAACAGAAGCAGAAGCCAAGACTTGGAATGCATAAAAGTCCAGGATCACAAGCCCAGCAAGTTGCAGACCTGGACCTCAACTCAGGCCAGTGCTGAGAGAGCAGTGTCTGAAGCACAGCAGCATGTTTAAAGAGTTTATTATGTGAATGACTTTATTTTGAGAATTTAGATCCCTGATTCAGTGGTACTGGAGAATATATATCTGGAAAACCTCTCTGAGAACAATATTAAACTCTTCCTTGGAAATTCAGAGTGAATCAGTTACTTTGAAAGTCTCAACAACTGAAGTAGGATTTTTTGGAGGTAATTGTCCAGCTAACAGGAGACAGCAATAATTATATTTCACACATATTCTCTAAAATAATATAAATTTTAGTCATAGTAAAAGATTTTTAAACTTGGATAATTTATCTGTGAAAAGTTATTAAATTAAATTAGGCAGAGGTCATATGATACATTCAGTTTAAAGAGGAAATCTGTTCCAACCCTTGGCACCAATTTTGCCAATTTTTAAATGGCTTCAAGAGTCTAGCAAGTCTTCCACTGAGTCCATCTTGTCAAATTCATATCTTTTACAATATGCCCACATCAGGAAATTATAAAGAGTTGATCGTTTTGTGACTGTTTGCAGAATATGAACCCTATCCTATGGTATGCTAGTTTATGCACATTCATGCTTATGGTGACATTTTTAAATGATAAATTTTATGAGTATGTTCAATACATATTACAAATCTATCTAAGAGATAACTTATTATATTTGATCTTTGTAATAGAGTAGAATGTTATCTTAGGTGATGCAGTAATCTTACACAAGTGTGGAAAAAGCAAAGTTTGGATGTTGTTTTATATCTGGGGATTAAAGAAGACAGACTTAAAAAAACACTGAATTTAGCCATGCCCTTGAAATTCTACAAGAAGCATTTGTAAACAATTGACTAGTGAAAAGGAAAAAGAAATTAGAGATGAAATAAAAAATACTTATGGATGATATTTCAAATCTTCACTTATTAAAAATTATTTTCGAAAAAAGTTATATTCTTCTGTTCCTATTTTTTCTGTCTCTTCTGGTGATGAGCAAATACTAACACAAAAACTTACGACATGTAAGTTTTCTACTTTTTTTTGCATGTTCTAAGTCACTCCTACCAGCTAGCACAAATACACTACTTTTAATGTGGTCAGGGAGAATTTCTCCCCAAAGGACCAAGTACTAAAAGCCAGACTATTAAATGTTTCAATGATAATACCGTTTGGTACCGTTGGATGAATAAACCAGTGTGGTTTGGACTGAAGTTTCATTTTTCTTTGCTTCCATTTTGCTGTGTATGAAGCTATCATAATTAATTTTTCAAGCTTGGCATTGCTTTGGCAAAGGGATCTCTAATATTCTATTTCCCCACTGAGCAGTGGGAAATTTTAAGGAGAAGAAGCCAGGAGAAGGAATTAGTTCTAGGTTAAACATTGCATCGACTTGTTGTGTGACTCAGACAAACCATTTACCTCTTTGTCCTTCAATTTCCCCATCACTGAAAATTGCTTTGCTTCCCTGGCACACAGCAATTTTGAAAGATGAAACATGAGTTTTGAAAAGAAACATGCCACATAATTTTGAGGTATTAGACCTCTGCTTTTGTAATACCAAAATGACCACCATTCATTAAGTTCTTTGACTAGGAGAATTCATTATTACTATTGATGATATAATTATTATTGCCTTATTACTATGTTATCATATATTTCAAGTTCTTAATAGCAATTTTAGGTGATATCTAATTTCACTTGTAGTTTATTTTATTAAACAAAAGTATCTGGAGTGTCATTTTCAATATTTGGAGGTTTGGGACTCTGTTATGATTTAATATAAAATACACATCTAAATAAAATTTCTTCATATTTTACATAATCTTTCATTGGTTTATCTCAAGAATTTTATTTTAAAAGTTAAACATTGGACACCCACAGCTCTGTGAATGTATTAGAGGACGTATAAAGAGTGAATTGTTCCTTCTGCTTGAAACTTCCAAATTACAGACCATGTTATATCCAGCTTTTAAGCCCCATTGTATAGTAATGAGTTTAGCAATCTGAATAAGTTTTACTTTTCTAATATACCTTTTACTTAAGCAATATGTTAAAATATTTTAGAAATAAACTTCCCAGTTATTAAGCCTAAAATAAACATAATTTTTAATGTTTTAGAAAAAGTTTTATTTGGGCTTCAGTACAATGAGACGAATACTAAACTCTCTCCAGTGCTCCAGCTTTGTTTTTTTTTTTTCTCCTATGTTCATTCACTTAGTTCAAAAGACATACTACTGTCCATTTTCCCTACTCAGCCATTGGGTAAGATAAGGCTTTTTGGTGGCAGGGGAAATCATGGAATGAGAAACCAGTCTAATGATTTACAGACCTAATGACCCATATGGATGAAAGTGGATTAACATCTTTATTATTTCTTGACACAGGCTTCAAATTCACTCAAGGAAAAACAGAAGTGTGAGACCCAGACTCTCAGGCAAGGTGTTCCTCTGCCTGGGCAGTACGGGGGAAGCATCCCGGCGTCTTCAAGCCATCCCCACGGTACTTTGGAGGGAAAGCCCAGCAGCAGCCACCAAGCTCTCCTGCAGCATCTGTTACTGAAAGAACAAATGCGACAGCAAAAACTTCTTGTGGCTGGTAATTTAAAATAGTACCATTTGTAGGTAATGTTAGGGCTTTTGTTTTATCAGCAAGCCAACATAATGTCTCTTTGCCTCAAGACCTAGTAAAAATTCACACTGTCGTGCAGAGGCAGATACCTAGCACTATGGAAAAGACTGTTACCCATATTTATTCCTCTAGATCTGTGGGAAAAAACTCACCTTATTTAACCTTCAGATATACCAGAGTGGACTGTGGATGAGTCATTGATCAGATGCGTATCTGCCCGATGCATTGGCGTTTTTGCCTCCACCATACCCAATCTGGGCATTCCTAGTGGCTCAGATGATTAAGAGTCTGCCTGCCATGCAGGAGACCCAGGTTTGATTCCTGGATCTGGAAGATCCCCTGGAGAAGGGCATGGCAACCCACTCCAGTATTCTTGCCTGCAGAATCCCATGGACAGAGGAGCCTGGCGGGCTACATTCCGTGGGGTCGCAGAGTGGGACAAGACTGAGAGATGAACACACCCAACCTAGCCTTCTTCTGATATATGTCCAATAGTATACCACTTTTCATAAAAATTACCCCGTAGGTATCTTCTGTAGTTTCTTGTCTTTTCTTAAATTATGTTTGTTTCTCTGTAAGTACCTCTCTCTATATATATGTACATATACATATACATATTTTTTTTTTCAGGTGGAGTTCCCTTACATCCTCAGTCTCCCTTGGCAACGAAAGAGAGAATTTCACCTGGCATCAGAGGCACCCACAAATTACCCCGACACAGACCCCTGAATCGAACCCAGTCTGCACCTTTGCCTCAGAGCACCTTGGCTCAGCTGGTCATTCAGCAGCAGCACCAGCAGTTCTTGGAGAAGCAGAAGCAGTACCAGCAGCAGGTCCACATGAACAAGGTAAGCTCCCAAGCCACGTCAACACTCCACAGCCACCGGTGTCGGATCTGGGGCTGTTGTCACTGATATGGGCATACAGGAGAGAGTGTTGGTGTCCATCAAAATGACCTGCAGACTGCCCTCCTGGCCCTGCCGTCGGGGCTCAAAGACACCGTCACAGTACCACTGTCTTCTCCATCACTGCATGCGTAGGACATTTGTAGCAAAATTGAGGTCCTAGATTTGTAACAAAATTAAGGTCCTAGATTGGAAAGTCTTTTCTGACTATGTATCTGAATGCAGCAGCACATATACCAATGCTTGTGCATAGCCCCGTGTTTTGTTACTGCGGTAAAGGTTTGAGGCAGAGTTGAAGTTTGCACAGGTGCTGCAGCTATGCCAAGGTTAGCCAGTTGGGCGTTTCTCAGCAACTTGTATGTATCCATGCTACATTTGTTTTTTAAATTATGCCCGACTTTTAGTCCAAATCAGTGCTGAAGCAGTTTCTCGGCAGCTTGTGGTATTCTCTCTGTGTCAGAAATGGACAGCGGAGGCCTGAGTCACAGCACACCCTCGGGAGCTCTCCTGCTGAGGCAGCCACAGACAGTCATCCTAATATAATGTGTCACACAGGCCGGGAGAGCATTTTCAATGAATCTGTAAGCAAATCTGGTCCATACAGTGCTTAGCCACTGCTCTCTGCTATGGTAGCCTTACAAAGGAGAATCCTTTCATTCCTGGAAAATGAAGGTCCTGAATATCAAAATTCTATCCTTTCTCCTTTGTTTCTATATTACCTACAAATAGCTGATAGAGGCATTATATTGAGAAACAATGACCTGTTTACTGATAAATGGATAGCTAAAAATTGGCTAAGTATGTAAATGTGCTATCATATTATGATATAAGCAAAACAGGGCTTCCCAGGCAGTACTAGTGGTAAAGAACCTGCTTGCAATTGCAGGGATCATAAGAGATGCGAGTTTGATCTCTGGGTCAGGAAGATCCCCTGGGGGATGAGATGACAACCCACTCCAGTATTCTTGCCTGGAGAATCCCATGGACAGAGGGGCCTGGTGGGCTACAGTCCATGGGGTTGCAAAAAGTCAGACACAACTGAAGCGACTGAGCATAAATGAAACAAAAACTCATGGGCAAAGGTCTAATCATCTTTCTGATAGTAAGAGAAGGGGATCTTTATCATGTGCTCACCTTATTGCAGATGATATTAGAGATGTTTTCTCATCTTTGGCCTCCATCTTAACAAGGCAGAGACATGAAGGTAGCATGGATTGAAGAGCATGATACTGAACACAAATTCCCCCAACCCAACCCTTTGCACTGTTCACAAATGACGTGTATGTGTATATATTGGGTGGGGATGGCTGGGAGTGCCAGCTGCCTATCATTTGCTTCACTGCAGATTGTATTTCACTATATTTCAGACTCTTTCTATTAGTATATCATCAGGTTAATGCCTATCTTATTGCTTCAGTATTTCTCTAAATTTATCAAATTATCTTATATAAAATCAGTCTTGTCAGAGGAGAACTGATTTTTCTCCTTGTATAATGGCATATTACTCCTTGTCCTCAATGTCATTCTGCACATTTACTGTGTTATGGTAGAGTTATGTTGATTTGTTTCTTTTGTGGTATATTAGCACAGCTTAAAATTACCAGGTATTCTTGAAACATTATCCAGTATGAAAGGAAAGGCTGAGAAGTCTTACTTTTCACCTCACAATATTTTGATCTGGAATTAGATTCATTTAGAAAAGTAGCAGTTGTTGTTATTTAATTGCTAAGTCATGTCCTATTCTTTTGCAACCTCACAGACTATAGCCTGCCAGGCTTCTCTGTCCGTGGGAAGAAAAGTAATATCTGATTGTGAATACACTTTCTGCTACTCTGTTCTATTTCCTAGAACTATATGGAAGTGTATTCTATTACAGGTATATTAGGTAAATTGATCCCTTTGAAATCACCATCTACAGATGATTTCTATGAATACCTTTAAGAATATTTGGAAATACATTTTTTTATGATCTAGCGTTCCCACTGCTTCAAACTCAAGTGGTATGTTAATATTGGATGGAATCATTGTATTTTAGTATCACACTCGAGATTTTGACAGGCAGATGCTAAGCTCAGTCACATGAAAGAAACTAAGATGGAAAGCAGGCATTTGCATTTCAGCAATGAGAAAAGCAAATCTTATCAGAGACCTTCTTCCATGTGGAGCTGATTCCTTGGACTCTGTTAAGAATTCCTCCCAAAATTAGAAACAAACCTATACTACATGTTTGTACAGTGGTTTGATTATTAAATCTTGTCTTAATTAGGCAAAATGAAGCCCAGAAAACTTCAAAGTACAAAGCTGATCTTTATATATTAACCTCTCTCAACTTGGGTGTTTAGATTACTCAAGCAGGTCTCTCCTTGGCTTTTCTCCTTGTATGTATTCCATATGTTTAATCAAGAATCAAGATGGCATATGCACACTGGGTATTCTCCAGATTTTGAAAATATTTCACCTGTCCTCAATTGTCTAAGGGAATAGAGAGGAATTTTCTTAAGTAAATATTGAACTCTATCCCATTCTATGGTATTCACAATAGAACCACTAATGAGTGAATCGCTACTGTTCACCTTTTCCATGAGGTAATGACGACATTTATTTCACGTCAGGAGAAGGCAAAATTAGATGCTGAAAGAAAACAGGTTTCTGCGTAATAATATATTTATGGGTATCATGTAGAATAACCATTAATGAAAAATAACCACAGAAACTTTAATTTATATCTTTTTCCCCCCTCAGTTATCATGGACAAACCTTTAGTGACTCATCAAACAGCCAAATAGTTGGCATCATAAACACATAGTCCTTACTCTCGTGATGTTTACTACAACAGGAAATATAGGCACATATGCAGATATAGGTGTATAGATGACATATTTTATATGTCTTTTCCTTTTATTCCCTCCAGTTTGCTTTATGGCTCTTTTTTGAGGAATTTAGGAACTTTGAGGAAAAATGGAGTGAGAAGAAAGAAAAATAAGCAGATTTATCTATTAATTTACATCATATTAAATATGATTAGCCTTCCTGGTATGAAATTTTTAATGACTGATTTAAATTGCTAATAATCTTTAGAAGAATTAGAAGCAACAGTATACTTTTTCAGAGCAGCTTGTACAGTGATCGACTTATTAAATTTTAAAGACTTCCTCATATCTTGCTGTTATTTGAATGCATTTATGAAAGCAGTCAGTCATATTTGTTATAACCATACAATGTAAATGTTATTAAACACACTAAACAATTTGCCTACCTGCTACCTACTACTTAAATGACATTTATATGGGAAATTTGTGTGTCATAAGATGCTAAAGCTCAAGCTAAAAGAAAAATGAGTGGAAAATGTCAGATTGTTTTATCTTTGCTTATAAGTTTGTATATTTTGTTTTCACTGAAAGCATTTTGAGAAGCTTAACCATAAGAAAATCATGGCTTACAACATTTGTTCTCTTGGGTTTTTTTTTTTTTTTGAGACATTTGAAACATTCAGAAATGCATCTAAACAATTTTATTGCTAGTATATAGTACCTTCATGTTTAAAAAAACATTAAAGAAAAGGTTTTTAATATGAGGATCAAAGAAGACTGTTACTTTTGCCAGTATCTTTTAATTTTTTTATTGGAAAAAAAGTGGTTTTCTAAAATAAAATTTTCCTTGTAAATACAAAATAGCAAACAAAAATTTAGGAGAGTACTGGTAATTTTCTTCTGAACCCTTTTCAAGTATTAATATTGCCACAGATTTTCTGGTAAAAACTATGACTGGTGAAAACAAAATACCACAGTTGCTTGGACATTTTTATGATTTTTGAAGGAGTACTGTGACCACTGCCTGATTAATAGTAGGGCAAATGTCAAGTCACATCACTCTCTGAATGACACATAGAAACTTTCCAAAGTATATTCAGGCGTCTTTATTGTGAGAAAATTTGACATAGGTCTCTGTCCCCCTTCCAAATAACAACATAGTTCTTTGAATTATTTCTTAGTTATAGTATTAATAGCGTTGATTGCTGCCTAATTGTTTCTATTTTAACTAAAATTTTGTATCTTTTCTAATATCTATGTTTTTCATATTCATCTTGTCAAATCTGTATGAGAAGAAATTTTAAGAAAATTATTTCTTATTTCAATACTTATTTGAATGACATAATCTATGCAAGGGACTTCCCTGGTAGCTCAGCTGGTAAAGAATCCGCCTGAAATGCAGGAGACCCCAGTTCAATTCCTGGGTCGGGAAGATCCCCTAGAGAAAGAATAGGGTATGCACTTCAGTGTTCATGGACTTTTCTGGTGGCTTAGATGGTAAAGAATCCGCCTGCAGTGTGGGAGACCTGGGTTCGATCCCTGGGTTGGGACGATGCCCTTGAGAAGGGAACGGTAACCCACTCCAGTATTCTTGCCTGGAGAATTCCCATGGACAAAAGAGCCTGGTGGGCTCCAGTCCGTGGGGTCGCAAAGAGCCTGACACGACTGAGCAACTAGCACAACACCAATCTATGTAAGTATCCACTTAGCAAATCATTACTGAATTCTTACTTGATTAGTACCAGACACCATTTCAGGCAGTCAGAAAACAGCATACAGCGTCCTCATGGAACTTACCATATGGGCAGCAGGGGACTGAAATATTCCAGTAAATAGCAATACAGTGTATTAAGTATCGAGATAGAGAACTTGAGGAAGGAAGTTATTTTCTTTGAGGAAATAAGTTTGAGACTTGTTTAGTTTCTCTCAGGATTATCGGGTACTGTTTATATATTTTCCTCTCCTTCTCCCTGTCTCTGTCTCTTTTCTGTCTCTTTCTCTCTGTCTTTCCCTCTCTCTCTCTCTCTCTCCCTCCCTTACTCCCTCTCTCTTTCTTTCTTTGTAAAATGCTCTGTGATAAATATCTTATGCATTCCTATGACTGGATATCAGCCAACACTTAAAAAAAAAGCC